GTAGAGAAAGTGGTTTGGCAGGGATTAATGATAATAATAAATACTGTCTTTATCTTGCCGAAGAAACATTCTCGATTCAAAGTCTGACGTGGTGGGTGGTTGGAGGGTGCTCTGGTGTAGTTTGCTCCTGCTCCTTTTTTCCCATCATAAAATGATCGTCCTTATCTCTCCTCCTTTATTGTGTTTGTTAATGTTACTCTCTTGTAACACCTCTTGTCTTCGGCGCTTTTATGACCTTATTGGGTAAGAAGTGCTGTAAAATTCTTACTAAAACAAAGTCTGACGTAAAAGAAAGACAATAGATCTCAGCGTCAGTGTGAACTAGTCGACGCTATAAAAAACAGTTGTTTGTTGTAATTTTTAATTGTAATGTATTCTTTTTTTTATTTATGTCTAGTAACAACATTCACATGAGACGTGTGTTTTACATCCTGGATTTACAATTTTACAAGCGTCTTTGTACTGACTTCAATCTGTATAAACTTACTTGTGATTTGCTAGTTTGTTTTGTTTTTTTAAAGTGTTTCACGGCGCTCGCAACTGCAGAAGGTCATATGAGCGCGCGGGACACACCTAATATTTTCAGTTGGTACGAAATTTTGAATTTTGCCCGGGCGGCGGCCGAAGCCTACTCTAATCGATTTTAGACCACCAAGGGATTTTTGACGTGCGCAACTTGCACACGGGCCCTCTGAGATTTTTTGCCCTTGTCCGAGAAGGCTAGGTGTAGATCTTTCCTACCAGAAGATCAGGGGTGAGGCTGAAAGACAGTGTAAGAAGAAACGAAGGAGTAGCAGTAGAAAGGCTGCAGAAAGAATCAGGAGCCCAGAAGAAGGGGCAAAGGAGGTGAGGGGGTGGGGACAGAAAGAGGAGACGAAAGCAGACAACAGAACATTGCTAGAGAGCATTTAGAGAAGACAATTTTTCGGTCGCTACCCAGATTCGAACCCGGGACCTTTGAATGAGAGGCCAACACCTTAACCTCTAGGCCACGAGAGCCCCCCCCCCCCCCCTTGTGATTTGTGAAGCGGCAAAAAGAACAATTTCCTTGTATTTGAAACCGCTTTATCAACTTGTTATATCGTTCGTTACACTCTCAGTTTTAATTATAATCTATTCATGTACGTACATGAATGCCGTTTGAAACAACCAACACAGACGTGTGTTTTACATCCTGGATGTGCAATTTAACATGCACTTTTGCACAGTCTAAACTTTGTACAAGCCCAGTTTGTGATTAAGGAGTCTTATTTCCTAGTAATTTTGATACCCTTTTAACTTGTTATATCGGTCGTTACACTCTCAATTCTAGTTATAATTTATTCATTGTTATGTATGTCCAGTCGAAACAACCAACGTAAACGATTGCTTTATAATATAAACTGAATGTGCAATCTTACAAGCATCTCTTTACCATCAAAGTTTAAAACGGGATGTAATCTTATTATTATTATGTCGGCAATACGTTTATGTCCCTTTTTACCCTTCCGAGATCGATAATTTGCTGTTGTTTTGGAACTGTCTTGCTGCCGGGCTGGAAACTGTAAGACACAAAGCAGACAAATTTCACTGAATCAAATGGAAAGCCAGAAGGATCTTTGGTTATGATTTTGATAGGACTGATGAGACAGGCAGAGAAATAAAGAAGTAAGAGCAGCTATTGGCACATTGTCCTGCCTGCATTTCATTCTTTTAGCCCAGAGATTGGCGCTCATATGACCTTATGCAGTTGCGAGCGCCGTAAAACCTCTACTAAAACAAACAACTCAAGCGAATGAAATTGTTAGGCCTCCTAGCCAGCCAGCCTCGAGAGCCTATAACACCAAGCACTCAGGCTATACATGAAGAGGAAGGCCACGCAAAAGGTGGATTGATGGAGTCAAAAATACCCTGAGAAATTATAATATTCCAATGAAAAAGCTGCGGGGCTGACCTGCCATAGAAAACTGCATCTCCCCACAACGCTTCACGGCAACAGAGGAAGAAAAGGTAAAAGTAAGTTAGGGTTTGGAGTTGTTGAGTTTTTTTTGGTAAGTGTTTTACCGCGCTCCCAACTGCATAAGGTCATATGAGCGTGCAGCACACATTAAACATTTTTACCCGGGTGACGGCCGAAGCCTACTCTCATCGATTTTAGACCACCAAGGGATCTTTAATGTGCGCAACTTTTACACGGGGCCTCCGATATGTTTTGCCCTTTTCTGAGAAGGCTAGGTGTAGATCTTTCCTACTGGAAGATCAGGGGTGTGGCTGAAAGACAGCGGTAAGAAAGAGCCACAGAGTAGCTGTAGAAAGGCTGCAGAAAGAGTCCGGAGCCCAGAGGAGGGGGCAAAGGAGGTGAGGGGGTGGGGGCAGAACGTGGAGACGAAAGCAGACGACAGAATATTGCTAGAGAGCAGCAAAGGAGGTGAAAGGAGACTGTTTTAGAGTAAGATTGTTCTGTTCCTGCCCGGATGCGAAGCATGGACATTTGAAAGTGAGGCGAAGACCTTAGCTCTAAGACAAGAGAGCCTCCCAACATGCTCTTTGCGCCTTTCGACTATTGTTACTCAGGCAGAGCCCAGAACACTCACATAATATTCTCGGCTTCCCATAGAGCGTACGATGCAAGCAATAGATTAAAGAGACTGAAAAGATCCTTCGTTGTCTGTACACTGGTAGGTAATTTTTCCGACCTGCAGGAAATTCCTGTAAAGTGCCTTTTGCGAAGACACATCGTCGGGTTCCTAACTGGGTTCGAACCTTCGACCTCTCGGTTTCGAGCCTAACAGCCAGTTCAGTGTTAGGATGTGTTGATATATCATTATCTCTGTCGTCAACAACATCCGGCAGGGTATACTTTTTCTCATCCAGCGAAGTGAGAAGACGACGAAGGGATATGTATAGCCTTCCACCTCGGGTGTGTGACAACAGCAGTTTTGAGGGTGGTGTTCAGAAAATCGTCACTGTCACTGATTATACTTCAGGGATGTGCCATCGTCAGGGGTGTAGCGATTAGGCGCTTCTGTGTCGTTTGCAAGAAGTCCCGAGATCGGTTCCCGACTGGAATAGAAATTTTATCGAGTATCTCGGTCTTTCTGCTGGGATGTTTTAACCCAGTTTGGCCCAAACAGACAGAGTCGGAAACACATTTCCTAAATAATCTAAATTCTATCGACGGAGGGGTAAAAAAAAACCCACAGACAGTTTAAAAAATGATTTAAAAAAACAAACTAGGGCCTATGGACCAGATCCGGTCCGCAAGCAGTTTCAGCCTGACCCACGAGAGGACCCACTTATCTATACATATTATTTGTGAAAGTTCGTCACTTTCGCAGCCTAAAATTTGGGAACCGCTTAACTTTCGAATTTGAAAAAATTAACTGTGGTTCAGAATCATTTAAAGGGTGCATATTTTTACGTAGGAGTCTGAAGTCACTTAGTTTACTTTTCAGTTTTTCATTCGTTTCGTTTAGATATAATCTTGGGAAAGTCCGTCTTCTAAGACGCCATTGTAAACAAGTGAGGCTTCCGTTCACAATGATTTGACGATCGATTCTTTTGAGTCCGTTCGTCGAACAGGAAACCCAGCTGGTTAATGATGAATATGACTAGAGGTGAGATGATAATTGACTTATTGGCATCATCAGAAAGCTCGTTCATTTGGCTTTTTTTTTCGAAAAACAAAATACTCATCTATCTTGAAAAGTAGTCGAGATATTTGCTACAGAATGAGATGGGATCCTCTGATTTCAGATAATTATCGAGAAAGTAGCCGCTAAAGCTCAGTGGCTTACAAAGCTTGAGTGAACTCGAGAACTGCAATTAATTATATCATAAAAAAGCTAACAGTCGCATTGAAAATCGAAATGAAAAGCTTCCGTCCCAGCTTTAAGCAATAGATCGGTTTCAAGTAGCCTACATTAATATCAATGTTCCGCAGGGAATTCCCTTACCAATCATTATCATGCTCCTGTGTTGATTTTAGTCTTACTTTTTTATTTGCAAACTTGCCAATGTTCTCCTGCCTAGGCCAAATAGATTTTTTTAATGGTTTTATTATTCAGTCCCTGACAAGGACACATTTGCCTTTTGTCCGTTATACACAATGGCTAAAGTCATTTTGAGTTTGGTTGTCTGTTGGTTCGTTGTTGTTGTTGTTTTTGTTGTTTGTTTTTTTGTTTTGTTTTGTTAAAAAAACCTTCCGAAACCTGTACTTCGCTACCTTAGAATTACAAAAGTCCCATTCGACGTGTTTTACCATTGTGAGTTAGTAAGACCATGAGGTCAGAAACCAATGTTCTGTCTGCTCTATCAAAACTGTAAGATTGTTCAGAGTCATTATCAAGATATTCCAAGAATTGCATTGGAAATAGCATGACTTGTAGTGAATCTCTAAATTCCTTCCTCAAATTTCTTTTTTAAAATAGGCACTGAGAAGATAGAGCTTTGTACTTCTAGAGTAGCGACTTATAACATAATAATATGTTAACCTCCTGTTGGCTAAATATCTCAGTTTTATCTCAATATCAAAACCCTGCTGTGCGGGGGATACGAAACAAGTAACAAGCATAATACTTTGTGGGGTGACCTTTGGGAATCGATGGCTTATGAACCCCCCTTTCATTCTCCTTTATGCCACAGTCTTAATCCTTAAAATATTATCCCAATACATATATTTGATAGTTGAACATATTTCAGGCTTTGTACAGTTCGTGTCGCAAAGCTCAGAAAATACACTTAAGGGGATGAAATCATTTTCGAGGACATTTTGAGAAATTACACGCACATGTATTTTAAACGAAGCTGTAAATTAATGCTTCTGAAATCCAGAAAATAAGCTTTCAAATAATTCCATTGTCTTTTTTTTAAAAAGAAGAATATCTAAACTGGCAAAGTTTTGGATATCGAGCCATATTTTGTGTGTGCTGATTTAGCAGGTTAGAAACAAATTATGGTTACTCGCTTTTCTTTTTTTTTTTTGCGTTTCTTACACTCGTTACCTTTTCAATTATGTTTACTTTATTTCCTTTGCTTTGAACTTTCTGTTACCTTATCCCACTGCGTTGCTCAGATTCCCTCACTCCTCTTTGAGTGAAGTAGAGGTAATGGTGTTGGTGTCTCGAAATGTTCTGGAATTAACTTGTCATCAAAGCTAGATCAAGAATTACGTATGGGCGGCATTACTCAACCTCAGAATAACAAAGTTCTCTCTGACTCAAAATGGCCAAATATCGCTACCCTAGAAATACTAAGTTCAATCTGATAAGTACCTAGTTTTGATAAATTTGATATAAAAAAACAAATATGGGTTTCAGAAGATGTCAAGCTTTTTCGAAAGCAATTCTTGGAATATCTCGATAATGTCTCCGAATGATCTTACGATTTTGATACAGCAGATAGAAAATTAGATTTCTGAACTCATGGTCTTAGTTACTCAAAATGGCCAAATGTCGACTACCCTAAAATAATGAAGTTCTATCTACTCAATACTTCGGTTTAAGAAATGCGAAGTCAAAAACTATGAGTTTCACAACATGCCAAGCTTTTTCGAGGGCAATTCTTTGAATATCCTGATAACGACTCCGAATAATCTTACGATTTTGACAGGGTGGCTAGACCATTTGGTTTCTGATATCATGGTCTTAGTAACTTAAAACGACAAAAACTGTAGGAAAAAAACTTTGTAATTCTAAGGTAGTGAACTATCGAGGGAAAAAATTTCTCAAAGCGACCCAAAATGTCACATACACAGAGCAGTGGCCCTTGATCCATTTTGAACCAGTGGGGGACGTTATTTTATTTTTTTAAACTATTTTTTTTTAAATTATTATTATTATAAGTGTAATAACAATAATATTATAATTATTCTAATCTTATTTTATACTCCATACATGGGGATCGGTCGGACTCAAGTCTTCTGCCTGCTATAGTGAAGCACGCTAACCACTACACCACAGGTGCCTGACCTGCTTCGGTGAGGTGGACAAAGAATAATGAAATACTTACACTTAGTAACATATCCATGTTGTCCAGCCAGTCACAGTGCAGGTGAGAGCCGTCACAGTCCCTGGGTGTTTGGAGCTGTCAAAGGATAATGAGATCCCGTCACACCTTCGTGGATAAAAAGGTTGTCCAACTCAACAGAGTAACCATCGCTTTTTGGAAGCAAAGGGAAGACAGACGACCGAGAAATCATCAGTCAGACACGACTCTAGTTCATTTTGGTGAGCATTAAAATTTCTTTCTTGTTTTGTTAGTGTATTTCTGTCTTTTTGTCTGTCTTTCTTTCTGTCTTTCTGTCTGTCTTTCTTCCTGTCTTTCTTTTTTCTTTCCTTCCTTTCACTTTCTTTCTTTGCTATATGTAAGAACTAGAAACAACAAAAAATCCAGGATAATTTTTAGAGGGGGCTTCCCGAAACAATAATATTAACAATAATACATTAAGACCCCCTGAGCGCTTTACAACGATTACATGATCACTGAACGTAATACTTCATTCACACAAGATTAACACATTAAAAAGAAAAACAGTTCAACAGCTTTAAAAAAACGTTCTTAACTATAAATTAGTTATGTATACAAGTAAGGAGAGCAGTAAATACAAAACATATCAGCATTTACTAACACAATAAAACTAAGAAATTAAGAGTCTTGAGTAATCGCTTAAACGTATTAGGATTTGTCATTTTTCTGATGTCCTTGGGCTAATTCTTGATTTAGAGGGAAAATGAGAAAATTCTCTCACCAGAGGGGCTCTGAATATTGTTGCACATTTTGAGCATTCAAAAACTCCACTTCCACTTGTGGATGTGCACAGCTTGCAGTTTTCTCTCTCGGTTTCAGCAATATTATAATTTGTGAGACCTCATAATACTCATACGGCTTGCTGCTCACTGAGACTGCTGCTCTACAACTAGGCTTGTCAGGACCTGGCTCTCTCATGTCGACGGGTGTATGTTTAAATCATTCAGAGACATTTTCAGGATGTCTCTGTCGCGCTTTTTTTGGTGCGCCAACTTTATGTTTCCCTGATCAGAGCTGAGAATAGAAGAACAGAATACTTCTTTTACGATTCTAAAATTAGGCATTCCTACGACATGGCCAGCCCAGTTGAGTCCTGTTGAGCCTCTAAAATATTCTCTCGGTGTTTGCCCCTTTTAGAACTTCGGTGTCTAGTATCTTATCCTGCCTTTTGATGCCAAAACTTTTTCCTGAGGCGTTTCATCTGGAAATGATTAAGCTTTTTAGCATGGCTTTGGTTCATCGTCCAGGTCTTGAAACCATACAACAGGGTAGGGAGGACCATAGCATTGTAGACTTCCATACTCAAAGACTATTTCCACATCGACGGGGGCATTTGAAGACGGAGTACGGTCAATAATATTTGAAGCTATCAAAATTGTCATTGTTGTATTAAGTATTTAGGAGGGAGGGTCTGCGTTTCCCCAGGGACAGAATAGAAAAGAGCTTCTGTATTCACTGGGCTTTTTGGGAGTCCAAAGTTTCCACAAAACAACATTAATATGGCACCCGAAAAAGATACCCTCATACCCCCCCCCCCCCCCCACACACACACACACAAACACTCCAAATAAAGATAGGTCTACTAGAAAACACAATAAAACCGTCAAAACGTTGGATTTCAGAAACGCTTCACAATCATGAACCCCAGAGTGTTAATGTTCAGCTTGACCTTCACCTTGCTGGCTCTGAGCACCCTGACCTTAGCCCAGGGAGAAAAAGGTCAGGAGGAAGACGCAGAGGTCAGGGCCACCGCGGACGACCTGAGAGACACTCTTGACCTAATCAGGGAGCTCTCAAGCACTTCACGCCGCGAGCTGGTCAAGCGAGGATGGGCAAGCAAGACGTGGAAGAAAGCCAAACCACACGTTATCAAGGCCGCCGTTAGTAAAGGAGCTGCGGCTCTCGCTGGCTGAGCTTGTCCAGCGATCCGCGGGAGAAATGAATGAATGAATGAATGAATGAATGACTAAATGAATGAATGAATTAATTAATTAATTAATTAATTAATTAACACAGAATCTACCAAGATATCAAAATAAATCAAAGCACATTATAACAAATACAACAGAGTCTACAACGTTTGTTGATTTCAAAGAGGAGAATTTCTCTACAAGACTTTGGATGTTCATTTCTGTTCTTACTATAAGTTGATCTTTATTTTTGTTTTTGTTCTTTGTTTTGTCTATGAATTGATCTGCATTTTCCACTTTCATTCTTTCTATGAATTGATCGGTATTTTCTACTCTTATTCTTTCTATTGATTGATCTTTTTTAGTTGCTTTATATTTTGCTTTCTGCTCTTTCAAGGAATTTATCTTTTTTAATTGTTGCTCTTGTAGCTGTTGTTGTTGTTGTTGTTGTTGTTGTTGTTGTTGTTGTTGTTGTTGTTGTTGTTGTTGTTGTTGTTGTTGTTGATGTTGTTGGGTTATTTTTCCTTTTTTGTGGTTTATTTCTTCGTCTCATAACCTGATTTGGTGCTGAATATTGGTACGTTATTGATAAAATGTGATAATGTAGTAGTTTTTGTTAGAGTCAGCTTGTTCAGAATAACAACAACAAAAATATACTGTTTGTTGTTGTAATTGTTGTTGTTGTTGTTGGTGGTGGTGTTGTTTTTGTTCTTTTATAGTAATAATGATTTTGATGATGATGATGATGATGATGATGATGATGATGATGATGATGATGATGATGATGATGATGATGATGATGATGATGATGATGATGATGATATAATATATTACAATATAGTGTAATATGACACAATGAAATATCGTCGGTCGCCTGATAAAACCGTGAATTCCACAAATTTTCGAAAATCGTTTTTTTTTGCATATTTTGATAGTGCTCGGTGAGATGCACGTCCTTGTAAAACAATTTTTCAATTATCTCCACTCAAACGTGTAGTCTGACGTAATAAGAAAATCGTGAATAAACACCATGCCCCAAAAGTCGCCTGTTGAAACCGTGAATCTCACACCTGTGTGGAATTCACGATCTCATCAGTCGGTTTATGACTCGCGGGGCTGACCGTTGGCGCCGTGAACGCCTCTTTAGACCATTGAAATATGGGCGACTGTGTTGAGCAAACATAATGGTCGGTCAGTATTCACGGTTTCCAGGCCAAAGATTATAATTTATGATGTCGACTGCATGCGTTTTGCGGGAAAACCTCTCTGTCACATAATTAAAATGTGTATTTCCTAGATGCAGGACTGGTATTGTTTCCCAACGACTGTCAAATTCGAATGTGTAATGTGTGTGCCCTTCTAATAGTGGTTATACATTTTTGATCTTGCTCGTTTGGCCCAAAACAATTTTAAAATTGACGTAGTCGAGTATAAATTACAAGTATATTTCCGTGTTGTATCACAACCCAAACTTGTTTGACATTGAAAACTCTTTGATTTGACATCAGAGTTCCCTAACGAGAAAAGGATTTTTGAGAAGCTGAGAAATGTGAACCATTTTGGGCATCAAAGAAAGCTGCAGAAAATACAGCACGGAAATAGTAGAAGAACCAGACTTTAATGAAGAAAAAGTATCATTCAAAGTACACGATGCGTTGGAACAGATCAAAGGTGCTTTTTTAACCTCCGAGAGAGTAAGAAGGAAGAGAGAGAGAGAGAGAGAGAGAGAGAGAGAGAGAGAGAGAGGGGGGGCAGTAACAAGCTTTACAAATCAAGAGATAGGACGATTAAAAATGACTAATGAACTGAAACCCAAATGTGATTGCTCAACTAAATCAATGGACTACTCACTATTAAAAGACAACACCAGAACAATTATCTGAACAACTATCTTTGTCTTTGTTTGGACTTTGACACGGGGAGACAGAAAATCCTATGTAAACGGTTTTCTCAACTCGAAAGAGTACAATTTAAACAAAGGCGATACACCAAGCTCAAAGATGCACACTTGGGTTTATTATTTGAAACAGAATGACCTGAAGATCAAAGTTTGCAGGATGTTGATATATATGACCGGGCTCAACCATTGTAAGTTGTTCTAGAAAAGCCCAGGCCAGTTTCATCATCGCCTGGCTCTCCCCGTACAGACAAACACTTTCCACTATTCCCTACCCTGGGCTAACTTCTTCATATTTTTCAAATGTCTTTCTACTGTTCTGTTTATCATTCTCTGCGACTTTTCTACAGGTTCCACATGGTCTTTCCTTGATCGTTCAAGCCATGTTGACTCCAAATTAAAACTTTTATTATTATGTAGCTGCCTGATTTCCTTATGGTATGCTCAGTCCAATCCATCTCCACTGCCTTCTTCTGTCTGAAAATGTTCTGGTCATTATTTCCTCATTGGTGACTGCCTGTCCATCTGACCCTGAGGAACTTCCTCAGACACTTGTTGATGACAACTTGGATCTTCCAGAATTTTGTAAAGGGTGCTTTAGAAGAGCACATCCCAGCTGGACCACCAGACAATCCACAAGGGTCGTGCAAGCCAAGGAGTTTCTGTTCACATCTGTGGACATGCTTCCGAAGGTTCCCACTCACTGTTACCAGCAAAGCTCTGGAAAACTGTATCTTGATCCCTGATTCTGTAATATGTTGGAGCTTGAAACCGTCTGCACTGGCCAGGGACAATCTGCCGTGTAAGTTGTATGTCAGGCTACTCAAATATGAATTGTGCGTGAGTTTTAAGTCTTGACAGCGTCAGCCAGACAAAGTGGGAGTCTCACATGTCAGAAAAGAACATGACAAAGAAAGGGCACGCAATGGATAAAACCTTTGCTCTTAGGCAAGAAGACCTTGTGATGATTTGCCTGAATCTTCAGGGTGTGCTTTTGTCATTGTCTATTAATTCATCCAGCTCTTGTTACAGAAACATGCACATAATCTTCAATGCGACCTCGTATGATGCTATCTATTACTTATAACAAAAGGCACAAGGTGGTTTGATTGCAAATGAATTCACAAGTTGTTTGATGGACTTTTTTTAAACGTGCACGAACGCGTAGAGGGTTATAACAATATATTATTATACAGCTACGCGTGTGTGTGTGTGTGGGGGGGGTATGTGTGTGTGTGTGTGTGTGTGTGTGTGTGTGTGTGTGTGTGTGTGTGTGTGTGTGTTTGTGTGCGTGTGAGAGTGTTTTCTCTATGATTTTGCCAAAATTGCAGTTCACAGAACTGTCAGGTCGGGTAGACAAAAAGAAAACCAAACTGTTAATGCTTTATGAAGCCTCTGATATACATAAGGAGAAATTCTTTGCAGACTGAACTTAAACGAAGAGAGGGAGAGTCTTTTTAAGTCCAGAGACAAGAAAAACTTAACAAACAGTTCCCCACCATTGTATCATTCTACTTATAAACGGTAAAACGTAATTTTCAGGATCTGAGAGACAAAAAGGGTAAGATAATGAAAGATGATCATTCAGTCATTCAGGGGGTATAGAATTTTGACATAAATCAAGTTCTCAACCCATCCACCACCCCCTCCCCAAAGGAAATACACTTACCTACAATTGGAGAAAGAAGGATAGAAAGCACGCAAATGAAGGAGTATGATTTCATAAATTGCATACAATATCTCATTCATGTAAGAGTGAGAGATGTTTAAAGTGGTAAAATAATGAATAGCCTTCTGTCTCACTCAGTCTGTAATTTCATTCTCAGTTTTAAATTGGCCTTTTAAAATCTTTCTTATAACAGTATTTCGTGCTTTCAAACATTTTTAACATACCAGGACCTCTAATAAGAGAAAACAAACTGCCTAATAACCGTGAATACAACACCGCGTTTCCAAAAGCCTACTGATGAAAAAAAAAAGTGGAATTCACGACCGCATCAGGCGAGATTAGAATATGAAAAACGTGAATCCCACACTTTTTCGAAAAAAAAATGACCATCTACGGTAAATAATGTACAACAGTATTATTTCTAAAAGGTAATTGATTAGATTTATCCATTTAGTTTATATCTTGGACACCAAACAACGGAGAAAATCAGTTTTTTCCCTCTCCTGTAGAATTTGCTTTGTGTGGAATTCACGATTTCATCAGGAGACCGACGATATCATACTATACTATTATAATAGCTATGATAATGATAATAATAATAATAATAATAATAATAATAATAATAATAATAATAATAATAATAATAATAATAATAATAATAATAATAATAATAATAATAATAATAATATTAATAATAATAATAATAATAATAATAGTAATAATAATAATAATAATATTATTATTATTATTATTATTATTATTAAATAATAATAATAATAATGATAATAATAATATTATTATTATTATTATTACTATTATTATTATTATTATTATTATTATTATTATTATTATTATTATTATTATAATACTAATAATGATGATGATGATGATGGTGATGATGATGATGATGATGATGATGATGATGATGATGATGATGAGGACGGGGATGATGATGATGATGATGATGACGATTATTATGCTGTTGGCTCGCTGCAGATTAAAGGGACACAATTTAATACGTTCCTATTCTTGCTTTCCGTTGGTTATGTCCCGTTTTATACGTAATTAACTTTTTAATTTCTCCCGTGCAGACTTCTTAAATCATCATGATACTTTGTAACACGGCCACTGTTCTCCTCGACATCGGGTGGATGAGGAGATCATTTCGAATGTCATTTTAATATTTATATATACATGTACATTTATTTTCTTCAATGTTTTAGTTTTAGTAAGAGTTTTACGGCACTTGCAACACAATAAAAACCGAAGATTAGAGGTTTTACAAGAGAGTAATAAGCACAAAAAAGAAAGAGGAGAGATAAGAACGATAGATGTTTGATAGAAAAGGAGGAACAAACCACATCAGAGCACCCACCAACCACCAATATCTTCTTCAATGACAGTTAGTCGGGCTGGTGGTGAACACAACCTGTGCAGTTCACTGAAGACTGTTGAGGCTGTCATAATAATATGCAATCACTCAGTATTCAGTTTTTCTCTCCATTGGGCTACCTTAAAATTACTAAATTAATTCTATCCGACATTTTTAACCCGTTTTAAGTTGCTAAGACCATAAGGCCAGAGACCAACTGCTCTATCTGCTCTATCAAATTCGTAACATTATTCAAATCGTTATCAAGACGTTCAAAAACTTGTCAACCTAAAAGTTTAGAGTTTTACTTACTTTACTTTATACGTCCTCTTGCACCTCTAGGGCGTCGAGGGGAGAAAGAGATTCCAGTCTCTAGCAAGTTTGATGGCCTGGCTGGGTGGGATATTGAATGGTCTCAGGGTATCCTTCACACCCTGGATCCAGGTCTTTCTTGGTCTTCTTCTTGCTGTGTACCACGACACTTTCCTGTAGTAGGCTTTACTGGCAATCTGGTTAGGTGCCATACGTGTGAGATGTCCAAACCACCTGATTGGTTGCCTTCGGAAGTAGTAGAGGACAGGTGTTGTTCCCCCCCATTTCTCTGACCTTGTTGTTTCTGACAATGTTCTGTCTGGTTTTGTTAACGGCTCTCCTTTGACATCTCATCTCGCAGGTGGTTATTGTAAGTTCCAGACTTTTGGTCAGGGTCCATGTCT